GGGTCTCTGTATTTGCTCTCCTTTGCTGCAGGAAGAAGCTTGATGATGGCAGATTAAGGCTCTGTTCTGTAAGTATAGCAGAATATCATTAGGAGACATTTTTATCACTACTCCCCCCCACATAATTAAGACAACTATTACTTTGTTCTATCCTAGTTCTCTGAGCTAACTAGTCTCTAGTTACTGATCACCCAAGCAGTGTTGTTTATGGATTCCATCTTGTGGAATGGGTCTTAAGTCAAATCAAATATTGATTGGTTATTTTCATAAGCTTTGTACCACCCTTGCCCTAAGATATTTTTCAGGCAGGCTAGAATAATAGATCACAGATTTTATAGTTTTGTTGTTGTATATGTTTCTCTTTTGGTAGCCTGTAAAGTACCTTCCCATACCAAAGATACTAGAATATAGGGATGAGGGTTCCATGTGAGCATCAGCTTTACCTTTCCATGTTCAATGAGTTGTCTGGGTTCTGACTTCAACAACGGGATCTAGCTGTCAGCTTGTACAGAGTAACCTATTATCTTGGCAACTGCCTGAGTAGTTTGGGGATTTCACTTGCAAAATCCCACCCAGCTAGATAAAATGACCATGGGACCCCTTTGGTCAGCAATTCAACTGGATGAAACTCAGTTCCAGCACTGGAAGTTTTGTTTGATGACAAGAGATGGCCAGTGAGATTCTATCTCTCCCATTATTTAGAGACTCCATTAGGATTGTCTTCATATATTTTCAGAAGTTTCCACTGCACTAGATTTCCATACTACCTCTCAAATGCCCTTCAATTCTAATTGTCTCCCTGTATTCCTTCCCTCAACCCCATCTCCACTATCCCTCACACTTGCCTCTTAGTACCACCTTCAATGTTTCCCCTAGGTTTGGGTATGTTGTGTTTTAATTTTAGTTTAATTCTAAAATCTTTTTAATTTCCTTAACTTCTGTCTTGAACTACTTTTCATTCAATAGTGAGTAGTTTAGATTCTAGGAGTTTGTATACTTTCTCTTGTTCTTGATATCCAGCTTAATCTATGGTGGTCAGATAATATGCAGAGTGTTTTTCCACTGTTATTGTATCTGTTAGCCTTACTTTGTGTCCAAATATGTAGTCAGTTTTGTAAAAAGTTCTATGAGCCTCTGAGAAGAAGGTGCATTCTTTTGTGTTTGGAGAAAATATTCTGTAAACATATGTTAGGTCCATTTCATTCATGAAGTCATTTAGCTCCCGCATGTCTTTGTTTAGTTTCTTGACTCAGTTGCTCTCTCTGGATCTTAGGAAAGTATAGTGGCTGTGTGCTGCCATTCAGTGGGTGCTTTTGTGGCCAAGGCTCACAGAATATCATGCAAGTGAAAGCAGAAAGAATGTAAGAGCTGGAGGACGGGGAGGAATGCTGTGGATTTGACATAGTTGTTGCATTAATGAACTCCAGATTTTGTGATTACCTGCCCCAAATCTACCTTATATCAAGCCAGTCAAAATTCTATCCTGAAAGGAAGCTGTGATCACAACTCTCTACCTCTAACTAGGGAACCATGGGTAGTTGATAGCTGCTAGGCAAGGGAGAAATCTTCTTTGAGACTGTGATCACTGGTCATTGGTTTATGCTCCACTGAATAACCCTTGAACATATGGGCAACATTAAGTGGATTCAATGGTTAATTTAAAAAAGAAAATAACATAAAGTTGGGAGAGGTATGTGTTGAAGTGAACACTGGAGGAACTGAAAGCTTGAAATGTGGTTGGATACATTACATTGTAGATAAATATGAAAATCTCCAAGAATAAAAAAGGAAAACTACCAACAAGCAAAGTAATATTCAAAATATTTCTAAATAGCAAAATGTCTCCTCATAGGGATTTACAAATCTATTTCCCCCATTAGCAGCTTCTCTACTTGGCTACCATGGGGAAATACAAATATTCCTGTGGGATAATTCTCCAGGCCATGTGATTTCAGTGTCTCAGACAATCCCAGATCTCTGCATCACTACTTGGTCACTTCCTTCTAGAGCTACAATTAGCTTCCATACTAACAAATGTAAGGCTATTTTTGTCTATTATATTCTGCAAAGAGCCTGGTTGATATTTTGGGACAGATGGAATCTCAATCTGTAATAACATTGTTGTTTTTTTTTCCTTCATAACAAAAGGTAGGTAAGTGGGTAATAGTAACAATATTAGAGGATAGAAGTTTCTATGTTTTAGGGATGGAGATAGTATTAGTTGTGTAATAAAGATTTTCTGTTCATGAATTCACTTTTATTCCTGTGAAATTTTGGTAGCTACCTTTTTTTTGTTCTTAGAGTTTATGTACCATATCAATGAGTGGATCATCTCCCTTGTACACTGGTCTCATTAATTCCTCTCTCAAAATCTATGTTCACTCTCTTGAATTTATTTATTAGTAGTGCTCAATATTAAAGCCTAGGCCCAGGCATCACTATTCAGCTGTCTACAAATTTATTTTCCAGTGTTTTAAATAATACTAGGCTTACTTCAGCCTACATTCTCACCATTATCCCAGAGTGTCTTGAAGTGACTGTCATTTCTGTTATGTATCATCCTCTTGAGAGGATTTCTCAAGTTTCATCTTTAAATATTTTCATTTATTAAAGTGTTGTTCAACACCACATTTTCAAAATTCTGATCTCCGATCATTCAGCTGCAGGTGTATCCTTGTTCTTTACTTAGTCGTTATAGAGTCTATGATACATCTGCACCATTTACCGTACTATCTCTATTTACATATATTTTAAAAGGAACTGTTTTTAAGCACCTAATAAAGAGTGTACCTTCAGTAAGTACACTTTGCTAAGAAAATAATCTAATAAAATAATGCACTGGAATAAGGATAAAATGAACTAAGTTCACATTTGCTTTGACTTGCCCTCTGCATCCATTATTGCTACATTGCATAAGCTGTATGTGTGTTTTCCATTTGTATGTGGCCATGTGTAAAAAGTAGTAAGTGATGGATGAATATGAGACATATATATGCTGTATATATTTTTTCAAAAATTCCCATAAATAACTTATCATGCTTAGAGAGCAAGGGGAGAAAATTGGAAAGTCTGGGGGAGAGTTCAAAATCCATGATACTCTTAACTCTATTGTAATAAAAACCTATCCTAAATTTTCTCTTGTTAGAGGTATTTAAGAGGAGAGGTAGAAATTTATGAGTGGTGGTATGGATGGTCAAACTTTGCATATATTAAGTGAATATGTTTGTTATACTATTACAAGGTCTCCTTTTAATTACACACTGGACTTCTCAAATAGATGACAATTATGTTTATTGGTGATTCACATGTCTGTTACCTATGAATGAGCAATTTTCCCAACATAATATGTCTATTAATTATTTGGAAATTTCATACAATGCACTAGGATCACACTGGCTTCCCATTCCTCCTAGGTCCATACTCTCACCCCTGTGCCCTCTCCAACCCCAATAAAAAGAAAAAAGAAAGAAAATAAAAAGAAAAGGAAAAGGCCATCAAGTTTAATTTGTATTGCCCATATACTCATGGGAGCATGGTCAAACTCCCAGTGACTCCCTTAAAGAAAACTGAGTCCTTCTCTACCTCCTCACAAGAAGCCATCAACTATGAAGAGCTGCACTTCAGCAAGGAAAGAGCATTTTTTATATCCATTATGATGATGGTAATTAGACAAATTATGAATACTGGAAATCTAGGTACTGGAATGAGTGATGCTTTTCTTCCCTAGTCTCAGAGCCAGGATTAGTTCCAGGTTGATTGGAAGTTGGAATCAGATCTTCCTATTTACTTATGATCATACTTGTGTTATTTGAACTTTTGGCTTTCCCTTTGAGCACTCTCTCTCTCTCTCTCTCTCTCTCTCTCTCTCTCTCATTATCACTTTCCATATTTTTCTGATTTTGTTTTCCCTCTACTTTCTACCTTTTACTCATAACATTTTACTTCTCAGATTATTGCTTAAACACTGTGTATCTACATAATGAATCTTTCTCCTATGCTTATGCACGATATATTTTGTTGTTTTGTATAGAAGCAGATACTTCTGAGTAGACTGCTAGTTGTGATTAGTATCAATCTTGAGATGAGAACAATTTTTATTTATAGAACTATTGGAAGACATGGAAGAGAGATGAGGAGGTGTTATTAATACTATTTTACTCTAGAAATATTTACTGATTTTCATGTCCATTGTGAACTAGGAGTATCAGAAATGATATATGAAGAGCATCAGAGTAAAGATTATACATACTATAGATCAAAGTGCTTTTTATTTTATTATTTATTCATATTTCACCAAAGACCACTTACTCCCTAAATCCACTGTATCTTATAGATAACCTAAGTCCCTTATCTCATGCTTATTTTAATACATATAAAAATGTAATTTCCTCTACTGCCTGTATATCATATGTTGTCTATTGCTTTATAATACAGCTACTATTTGTACAATTTATGCTTTTCCAGCTGGTTTACCGAGTTTGGCACCTACAAATGTTAGAAAAAGTACTGACTGTTCTGAGACGGTATGGTTAAGAAAGCATTGTGAATTTTCATTGATATTATATTAGCATTTATTAATTTTACAAAATGTTTCATAATGAAATTTCAATTGATTTTTATAAAGTATGTCAACTATATTTACCCCTTCTAATACTCTTTATTAGGGCCTTCCTATACTCTTTTTATAATCTTCTTTTACTCTCTTAATTATTCCTTATTTTAGCTCTATGTGCTAGCTCATATATGTAATAGATAGTATTTATCCTTGTGTGTCTGGGTTTTTTTTTGTCAAAATGAGCCCAGTTTCATCAATTTTCCTTCTTCTTTATTCCTCCGTAAAAGCCAATTATGTATACTTAACACATTCCATTTATCCATTAATTTATTGATGGGAACCTAAGTCAATTTCACACCTTGCTTATTGTAAATAGTGATACAATACCCATAAGACTTCAAGTCTCTTTGTAGTATGGTATTATTTTCTGCTGTAGGTATAAATCAGAATATACAGAAGCCATAGTTTTAACTTTGTGAGGAGCTTGCACACTATTATGCATAGTGTCTGGACTGTTTTTCTTTTGCAGACTTGTGACTAAGGTTTCCATTCCCTATGCATTTCAGTCAACATTCTTCCCAATGTCTTCCATTGTCTTCCCAAAGCCAGCTATTTTGATTGTGGTGAGATGAAACTTCAAAGTAGTTTTGGGAAGAATTAAAATATGGAGGCAGAAAAGAAATTCCAATAACAAATATTCCTATAAGTATTTTTTTACCATTGTGAGTTTTTTTTCAAATGGCACTAAAGTAATGATTGAAAATGATGTATGGTAGTAACAAAGTTTCATTTATTATTAGAGTTTATTCACATTTACTAGTCATAGTTATTATTTAAATTATTAATATCAAGCAAAATATTTCAGTGCACATAACAAAAAAATTGGGTCAATATGTGAACTGTTAGTTTTAATCCTTAAATTACATTTAAAATTTGAATTTGGTTTTTCTTTCCTGGGTAATGTTCTATAGGACATGCAGTGTATAGATCAAGAATCCAGAGTCCTGGGTTCAGGTTCAGTCGTTCATACACATGATTTTCTAACCAAGTTCTTTCTTCGTTTTGTCTGTTCTTACCATACAGGGAGCTCATGAAATCCCTTCTCCCAACACAGGCTCTTATATTTCTGGGAATTAAGAAACAGAAAATATGGTTTTGTAGCCTGTGGACTGTGGGTTCAGGAGATGAGAGTTAAGTTATGTGACTTAGTTGACTATGCAAAGATTTGGCTGAGAGATTATAATTCAAAATTGTGATCAAGAAATGATGAGAGCTTCTGGAATGCTTGAGGCAAAGAGGTAAATTAAGATGACGTCATCACTTTCTGAAGCTGTGTCAACAGTTAAAGGGTGTCAGAAAAATCTATTCTCCATCTCAGTGCTTTTTAAGGCAAACTTTTTAAGATTCAACCCCACTATTAATAAATTATGAGTGTAATTGGACACATGCATGAACTAACTTTCATTATCATCATTTTTCTCCTCCCAAATTCATATATTCTCAAAAATTAAAAGGTGCAAATCCTTCAGTATCAGCTTTCGGTGTGTATGATCAATGCTAAGAAAACAGTCTCTTTTTCTTTCCTAAATTCCTTAATAGTTCGCTTTTGTTAAATTAAAAAATAAGTTAAAAAGTTGAAGCTTTGCACATAAAACATACCTGTCAGACATCATAAAGATGATGTTATAAAATACAAGATCAGGGATTAATACAGAAAAGTTTGGATGCTTTAAGGGGAGATGATACTGAGAAGATTTCCTCCTTTACAAGTACTAGCTACTAATATGTTAGGAAATGTACACAAATTGAATGGTTTTTCAGATGTATTTTGCATCCAAATTAGCCACATAGCCATATATATTAACAGAAGATAGTGTGAAATCTTAAATATTTGTGTATGTCTTAGGCCTAGAGAAAGCCTTGCAGGATAAAGCATAGGCTCCAGAATAATCTATGTAGTGCTATGAGCAGTAGATGCACTGTATAATCTTAATGGAACTTGGAAACTTATGGAAAAAGACTTGGTGAGCTAGACTGAAGGAGATTATAGTAAGATTGACAAATCAGCAACAGAAAGAAAGGTCCCATGTGATTCCAAATGTACTAGACATATGAAGTTGTCAAATTGACAGGCACAGAAAGTAGAATGGTTACCAGAAACCAGAAAAGGGTCTTAGAAGTTATGCTTTAGAGTTGTTTCATAGATATAACATTTCAAAGTTGTATGATGAAGTTTGGAATATCTGTTTTGTAATAATATGAGATATTCAATATCACCAAACTGTGTATTTGCAAAGGTCAGGATCATCCTATTTTTAAAACCACAGTAAAAAAAAAAAAAAGATGATTCAGAAGATTAGGGAGCCTTATCAACATGACAAAGAATGTATGTTCTGCCTTCGATAAAGTCATTGCTCTTTGTATACTATATAAATTTCAGTTATTGAATCTCAAAATATATATTATGAATTAGCCTATTTCTTTTAAATTCAATTCCAGCTTAAGTATCATATAGTTCTCACTTCTCGGTGGAGATTAATTTTCAGGTTAATGTTTCCTTTTAAGCAGTCTCTTTGTTTAGACTATGAAAACTGGAATAAGTGAAGAAATGAGATATGGGATGGTCAAATGTAACACTTTGGTCTTATGTACCTTTGAAAAAAAGCAAATTTCCCATTCACTCTTTTGTATTTGTAAAAATATATATTTTTTGCTTGCATAATCCATTTATTAGTATAGATATTTGTGAAAATTTTAGTTTTGTTTAATTTCCTCATTAATTTTAGGATATTAGAGGCTTTGCTAGTAGTTTATTTAATGAAGCTTGAATTATGCGGTTATTATTGTAGCATCCTCATTATTATTAGTATCATCATTATTAAGCCCATGTGATGAATTTTATATTAGGTGGTTCTGCTTGTAATACAAATATGCATAATTAAATTACTATAATCCCTAATAATTCTACTTTCTTACCCATTTTCTTAGTTCTCAAGTGCATTTGCAGACCAGTTGACTGAATCAATGGATGGAAGGAACCACACAGTTGTGTCTGAGTTTGTGTTTCTGGGACTCACTCATTCATGGGAGATTCAGCTCCTCCTCCTTGTGCTTGCCTCTGTGCTCTATGTGCTAAGCATGACTGGAAACATCCACATTGTGTTCTCTGTGGTCACTGACCCTCACTTACACTCCCCCATGTACTTCCTACTGGCATGTCTCTCCTTCGTTGACTTGGCAGCCTGTTCTGTTACTTCCCCCAAGATGGTTTATGATTTATTTAGGAAGCACAAAGTCATCTCCTTTGGAGGCTGTATCATTCAGATCTTCTTTATTCATGTAGTTGGTGGTGTGGAGATGGTGCTGCTCTTGGCTATGGCATTTGACAGATATGTGGCCATATGTAAGCCTCTGCACTACCTGACCATCATGAGTCCACGGATATGTGTTTTGTTTCTGGCTGCATCTTGGGGCCTGGGCATTAGTCATTCCTTGTTCCAGCTGGCTTTTATTATTGACTTACCCTTTTGTGGCCCAAATGTATTTGACAGCTTTTACTGTGACCTTCCTAGACTTCTCAGATTGGCCTGTACAGACACTTACAAACTGCAGTTCATGGTCACTATCAACAGTGGGTTTATATGTGTTGGCTCTTTCTTGTTGCTTCTCATTTCTTATATCTTTATTCTGTTCAGTGTCTGGAAACATTCTTCTGGTGGTTCAGCCAAAGCCCTCTCCACTCTCTCAGCTCACATAACTGTTGTGTTTTTATTCTTTGGTCCCACACTATTTATTTATACATGGCCACACCCTGACTCCCAAATAGACAAATTTCTTGCTCTTTTTGATGCAGTTTTTACTCCTTTTCTAAATCCAGTTGTCTACACATTCAGGAATAAAGAGATGAAGGCAGCAATAATGAGAGTTTTTAAAACATTATTAATTTTTAGAAATATTTCATAAGTAACATAAAAACATCTTTATTTGAATAATAATGTGGCCTACATGAGACATTTTGAAATGGCATAATTGGTGTGTATAATTAATGAGTGTTATCATGTTCCTTAACAATGCACTTGTACATTCAAAGAAGGAAGATTTAATAAAATAAAGCTTTATATTGATTCAGATAGTGTGCACAAATATGGAGAAATTATACTACATTTACAGATTAAGCTTTTTAATTTTATTTTACTTAAAGATTATCAGTTTATTGCTGTTTTCCAAGATATTTATATACTCATTAAGATGCTAACTATTCACCCGACATTGGAAATTCTTATTTCGAATAATGATGGGTAGTTTCTTTTTTCATTTTGCCTTGAAAATATCCATGTATCATCAAAGTTTTTTCAAATGCATTATAAGCCATCATTTTCACTCTAATATATTTAGCTAGACACATCAGATCCAACTTCTTCACCCAGCTATGTCTTACATATTCTTTCTCTGGATCTACTTCAGTAAGTCAAAATGTAACAAAGTCAAGATAGTTCTCATATTCTGAAAAATGCAAAATCAACAACGTCATGGCAAGAAAAACAAAGGCAAAGAAAGGCTGGAATGGTATATTGAGGAAACGAAAGTTAAGAATCAGTGTACTAATAGATGGGAATTTTAAGTTTTCTTTCTTTCTCTATAGCTTTTCCATAAGAACAGATTCCAAATGATAAGCAGTCATTGCCATCACAAGACAGAAAACACACTATAGAGAAAAAAAAGGAAAAAAGAAAGGAAAACAAAAATGAAACAAAATAAAAAAACAAAAATACTAGTCAGAACACTTGGAAAAGTTGATTTTCAAAAAACTTCTTGGAGAAGTATTTTGTTCTCTGTTCTATTTTTTGCTCCTTGCCTTATCCTTGGTCAGTTTTCATTCCAAGGTAGAACAAACAACTAAGACCCTGAGGTGACACAAGTAATGAGTTGTGGGTCTGTGAACTAAAGAGTTTGAAGGAATTTCACATCATTTTTTCTTTTTCCTTTTTCTTGGTGCATTTCCCCAAAGACAGGACATAGTATGTCTCTCTAAAGGAGTGCACAGTGAAAATTAATTACAAATACTGTGTTCATCTTCCTGGTCATATGATAGGAAAAGAGAGCCTTAGAAGACAAAGGGTGTGAAGATACTTAGAAGTAAATGTTCATGGACACCAGATTCCCTAGTTTATTTGTACAGCACCACACACCAGGTCTTGTTCTTAATGTGACACTGCATGCAAATTTACTTGATTTTCTGCTACAGCAAACAGTAACACAATGCTTCCAGAACATTTTAATAGTTGCAGTATCTCACACCATAATACTTAAAATGAAGAGATACATAATTGATAACAAGACTTTGAGTGCCCAGCTGTAAACAGAAAACCTATATTTAAAATCCATAACCACCAAGGTTCAGAGAACACAGTAGAAGAGGAGGTAGAAAGAATGTAAGAGCTGTATGATCAGCAGAAGTTCTGTAAAATATTGTTTTCTGGTTTTGTATGGCTATTGTACTTTTGAACTCACAGCATCTAAGGTTAGTCATAAGGCCTGCTCAAGATCAAGACAGCCAAAATTTCAATACACCTTACTGAGGTTCATCACTTATAGCTCTGTCCAATTTGCTGATGTTGTCTATGCTTCCTGTGAGGCTAAAGATGTGATCATCCAGTTTTTTGTTACTGCTGACATGGTAACTTTCCCCACCATCATGGACTCTAGTCCTCTGGGACCATTACTTAAGGAACTCTTTGTTTCCTAAGTTGCTTTTGAACATGACATTCTATCACAATAATAGAAAGGTAACTGATACAGGTAGAGATAGTACAGAATTTATGTGTAACAATTCAGCTTGATGAGTAAAGTGAGTTAATAGGAATAACTTATAGCCTAAAGGATGACTATGGAGAGTTACATTTAAATTGATTGACTATACTCTGACTAGCAACCTCCTGTGTTATATGACTTTAAGTGTTTAAAAGAATTTATTAATGCCTGGGTTTGGAGTGTTAAAACAGTAGTGATGACTATAGCACTGGCAAAGCCAGACTCTAGTTATGCTATATGTTCATATGTACTCTGTCTTGCTTTTATCTATGCTTTTCTCATCTCACAAAATTCTGTTCGGTAATGGAAAGGATGCCTTTGTTTCATAACAGCCTGGTGTTCACAACAGCTAAATGTCTTGCTGTGAGTTAGAGATAGTCTGGCTAGGATTTGTTTCCACACTTGGTGGGAACACTGAAAATCCAGTTTTTTGGGGGGGCAGTGAGATTGCTCAGTTGGTATAGTGGTTTGAATAAGAATAACCCCACAGGCTCATATATTTGAATGCTTAGTCACCAGGAAGTAGCACTATTTGATAGGATTAGAAGGATTAGAGGATATAGCCTTGTTGGAGGAAATGTGTCACTGGGGATAGGCTTGGAGATTTTAAATGCCCAAGCTAGGTACAGTCTCTTTAAGTCTCTCTTGGCAAGGGAGTCAGGATGTAGCACTCAGGTACTCTTCCAGTGCCATGCAGGCTGCCACACTCCCTGATATGATAAAAATGGACTAAGCCTCTGGAGCTATAAGTAAGCTCCCAGTTAAATGCTTTTTCTTTAATAATAGTTTCCTTGGTCATAGTTTCTCTTCACAACAATAGAACAGTGACTGAGACCATGGATAAAAGCAATTTCTAAGTCAAGAACCTCAGTTTGATCTCTAAAATCCATCCAGTGATGGAAGGAGAGAATTAACATCTGAAGGTTGTCTTTTACCCTTTGCATGTGTGTTATGTCACATACTCAGCTGTAATCATAATAATAAATAAAATTAAAATCTAATTTGTAGAGCAGTTTTGAAATTACAGCTCACTAACTGTGGCTGCTATGCTGTGTGGTAGATTACTATAGCAAATTCCACTAGTCTGACTAAAACTTTTCAGACTTTGATAAGATTCTCCATTTTTAACATTCCCCCATGCCTCAGTAATATTTATGTTTGAATATGCCAGATATGTATGAAAACATATGGTGAAAAAAACAGATTCTCTCGTCAAATCAGAGGCATACAATTATGGAATAAAATAGATGACACAGAAGATGCAGTTGTTAAGTTCTTGACCAAGGCACCAAAGCATGCATAGGAGAAAAGAAAGTCTCTTTAACAGATAATGCTGGGAGAGCTGGTTATTTACATGTAGGCATCCATAACTTGATTCTTATGTCTATCTCTCTTACTCTGTATAAAAATCAACTCATAACTGACCAGACAGTATAATTTGCATAATTTCAGAAACTTTAAAACTGTCAGAGAAAGCATGGAGAGAACAATTTAAGGTATGGGCACAGGCAATGAGTTTCTGAGCAGGACTCTACTAACTTGGAAAATAATAGCAAGAATGGACAAATGGGGTTGTACCAACCTAACAAACTTCTGCACAACAAAGGAAATCATCATCTTTGACACTTGTGAAGAAAAAAGATCAATAGTCAGAATATAAAAAGAATATAAAAATAGTCAGAATATAAAAAGAACTTTTAAAAACCTTAAACACAGGAAAGAATAAATAATCCATACTATTAGTGAGGAAAGAACAGAACAGATACTTTGAAATAGAAATACAAATGGCTAACAAATACATGAAAAGACATTCAACATTTTTGGTCATTAGGGAAAACAAATCAAAACTACATCCCCTCTGTCTTCCCAATTCTTTCTGTCTCCTCTTCCATGGGATATCCTTGGGATATGATGGCAGGGAGTTGATAGAGATATCTCATTGGAAGCTGTATGCTCCCACATCTGTATTTATGCATAATAGCCTTATGGATACCCTCATGTCCTTCATCCTCTCTGTAAAAGAATTAAAAATTTATGTGGAAAAGTTCTCTGAGTTGATTCTAAAAGGAAAATTGAGACTTTGTCAATTAACAGGAACAGATCCAGCAGAAATTGTAGTACCTATTACTAATGATGAAATTGACAAATTATGGGCAGAAAGTGAACCTTGAAAAAGAGATTGCAGTAATTTTTTGGGAGCAATTATCCACAAATATCCAAAAAGTAAGGCAATTCAATTTATAAAGAGAACTAACTGGATCTTTCCTCACATTGTATGGGAAACATTAATATCTGGAGCCCCTACAGTCTATACTGAAGCAAATAAATAAGGCAAGGCAGGTTACAAATCAGAAAATTTGAGTAGAGTGGATCAAAGCCCTTATGATTCTGTCTAAAAGTAGAATTATATGTATTCTCATGGTATGAATGGATTTTACAGAACCTCTCAACATAGTTGTTGATTTGCAACATGCAGAAAGTTGTTTTGCATATTGAAACTGCTGAATTTACTATTTATTCAGTTACAAGAAATAATAAGGACTAGGAATCATACTATATATCACACATCAGATCCCATACGGATTTGCCAGGCCGTTTAGAACAAGGAAATGATGAAATTGACCATCTATTGATAGGAAATGTGCTAGATGCCTCAGAATTAAAAAAAAAAAACATTATGTCCATAGAAAGAGTTTGAAAGATTTTTTTCATCACTTGGCAACAAACCAAGGAAATTATAAAGAAATGTCCTACTTGTTCTTTATACAATCAAACTCCGCTACCAGCAGGAAGTAACCCAAAGGGTACTCAAAGGAATGAAATCTGGCAGATGGATGTGTTCCATTTTGTAGAATTTGGAAAATTAATATATGTACACCACACAATTGATACCTGTTCAGGATTTCAATGAGTAATTGCTTTGAGTTCTGAAAAGGCTGATTCTGTAATCACACTTTTGTTAGAAGTTATGGCCATCATGGGAATACCTGTAAAAATTAAGACTGACTATGCTCTAGCATATGTTTCTAGTACAAGGAAACACTTCTTTTGCATATTACAATAGAAAGCATATTACAGGTATACCATATAATCCTACAGGGTGAGCAGTTATAGAAAGATCTAATTGAACTGTAAAGGATATGATAAATAAA